TGAGTTAGGGAACTCTGAGCAAGTTATAACTCTATGAAAGAGTTGATTGATTTAATCGAAAATCGGTTTGTAAGCCGAGTTTGATGAAAGCTCCAAGAACAACTCCGAGGGTCTGAAGATTGTCAAGATCCTTCTTCTGTCAAGAAGTCTTGTGCCGATCTCCAAGAATTCCAATCCAGAAAAAGAGAGAGAGAGAGAGAGCCCTTTTGATCTCCAAAATTCTAGCCCTTGAACTCAATTGAGTTTACTCCTATTTATAGGGGGTGTGTCAGTCATGATTAGACAATTGAGGGAGAGATTAGATCATGTTAGTGGTGTTTTATCTTCTGTATGGCCTATGGTTATCTTCATACAGTCCACTAGTGTCTATGCTGGATTGTGTAGAGTTGGCGATGTGTCAGTTAGATGGGTTGAGTCATGTTTAAATATAATTACAACTCGACTAATCGAGCTGACCCTGCTAATAGTCGACGTCTAGATCAAAATAAAATATATGTTTAAGTGTAAAGGCATCTTTAGGTTGGGCCTCTTCCAAAGAATATTGTCCTTTGCAAGAAAAGGGAATGTGTTGCAGATACTTATTTCTTAGATTTTCCTCTTCTTTAACCCACTTCTTTTGCTTTGTCTGTTGTGTAGTATGACTAATGTCTCTGGGAGTTCATCTCTATGAATGAGTCATCTTTGTTGATCAGTTTGTGCTTTTTTTACCAACTACAAGACCCCCTTCAAAGTTTATTGAATCCTTTAGTCTGGATCTTTGGTTTGAATATGTTCAGGAAGTATTTTTCATTGATACATTTAATGGCATTTAGTGAGGTTGGTGTTATGCACAGAGGTTGGTGTTATTGCTGGAGATGTGTTAAGAGACTCAACAGTTGAATTCTCTTTAGATGATGTGTTTCATAGGTTCTTCAAGAGGTGATCTGATAGAGGTGTTTTGTTGAACGTGTTAGCTGGAGTCATCATCAGAGAAATATTCATAGCTTGATGGACAACTATTTTGGAAGAGATGTAATGTAAAAATTTTTGAGATTTGACTCCATTTGGTATGACTCTTATGTGGAGTTAGGCGTTTGAGTCGGTTGATATCGTTCAGAGGCGTACTTAGGAACCTGATGATGTTATCTAGTGGTGGCTTTCAGTAGTGTACCGATGAGCTTACTAGAAGCTTGTCTTGAAAGTGGAGTAATATGTAATATTTCAAGAATTGATTCCATTTGGCATGACTCTTGTGTGGACTCAATAGTTTGAGTCGATTGATATCATTCTCAGGCAAACTAAGGATCTTGACGATATTATTCGAGTAGCAGCATTCGAAGGCATACTGATGAGCTTGCTGGACACTTATCTTAGAAGAGGTATAATATAGAACATTTCAAAATTTTTCCCTATTGGGCATGACTCTAGTGTGGAGTTAGCTGTTCAAGTCGATTGATATCATTCAAAGGCATATTGAGGAGCTTAATGATGTCATCTGGGTAGCATCGTTTATGGGAGTACTGTGGAACTTGATGATGTTACCTCCCTACATGTGTACTAGTAATCATATAGCGTTCCCTCCTTGATGACTCTCATAGCTCAGCTTGAGTGTTGCGTTGGGAAGGGACATTCTCTCAAGGAGGGTCTGGGCGCCTGTTTCAGAGCATTAATGAGCATCTTAGTCAAATCGTGCTGCCGTCACAGGGATAGTCGGGGCACAGCTTTCTATTAAGACTTGATGTGGGCCATTCTTTCATTCTTGAGTAGTCTAATGATCTTCCTTGAAAAGAGAAATTAGCAATTGGACTTCTTTTATCATAATTACGAGGTCGAATTATGAAGCAAACAAGCCACTTGTCGCATGCCTACTGGAGGGCTGAATTTATAAGTGTGTACCGGATAGGGTGATGACATCCCCGTCCTTCACCCTCGTGTCCTGATAGCTCGCGTTTACATGGATTCTGATATCGAGTGACTTAGGAAACAACTGATCCTAACCACCAAAGAGCCTGAGGAGGAGAACAAGGTCTTCTCAATTGGTAGATGTGTTGCTAGCGAAGAAGTCGATCCTTAAGCGGGTTATAGAAAACCAGTCAAAGGCTATCTTTAAAGAAGACAAAGAAAAATCTCTGTAGCAATCTCAGTGTTGGGATCTAAGGAGGACTGTTCAGAGGCTTTAATGTGAGCTGACCACATACTACTTAAGGTTCGAATCCTCGTGACTGCATTTACCTGGTTTCCTTTAGTCTTAGGGTGGGGATGGAAACCCGTGGTTTACTTGGTCAGTAGTGGCTCGACCCGTTGTCTCTGGTTCACGTCTCTCCCGGTCCACACACCGCTCGCCCATGCGCTGGGGATGAGCCCCCTGGTACTTAAGGGGTAGCTCCTGTTGGCCTTCTTGTTTTGATGATGATTTACAAACAATTTACTACTAATGTTGTTTGTCTAGTGTTTGTGCATTCCTATGTATTATAGACAAACAACGTTGTTGGAGGATGGATAGAATAGCGCTTCAACGACGATATCAAATGGAGGTTGGCGGAATTGTGGAGTGAAGCATCGTACAATTCAAGTTCAAGATCCAAGTTTAGCTTCATCCGCAACGTGTACCAAGTTGAGCTCAATGAAGATCAAGATCAAGCTTGGGTAATTTAGTTTAGGATTTATATTATGTGTGTTAAGTACGTTAAGCTCAATATCTTATACACACACATTTATTGGTTTCTTCGTATATATATATATAGTTATATATATATACATAAGTTTTGGTTTCTATGCATATATATAGTTATATATATACATACATGTGTTTTGAGTTTTTATGATTATATGTATGAAATTATATATTTCATATTTTCTAGTGTGTTTTTGAAAACATTGCATAGAATATGTAATTTTGTGAAAATATTGTATTCTTAGTTTGTAGACTTCAATATCAGTTTATACATGTTTTACTAAGTCTACAAAAACATTTTGCAAAGTTTCAAAAGTTGGTTTATGTCAAAACATCAAACTTCAAGTATCTCATATTTTCATGTTTTGGACTATTTTTTTAAAATGATGATATTTTTTATTTGGGAGGTCCTTTCTAATAACCAGTCACTGTAGCATGTTTATTATCATGTCTACAATCATTCCCCAAAGTTTTACATTTTTTGGAATTTATTTGATATTTTTAAACAGTATTTTAAAATCAGCAAATCAGATTTTCATATGTCAGTTTTCGGTCGACCGCACCGGTCGACGGATCATTTGATCTTTCATCACTGGGCGACAGAGAGTCTGTCGGTCGACCGGTCCGGTCAACCGAAAGCTCCATCGGTCGACCGCACCGGTCGACCGAGTGTTTTTGTTCTCTGTCGGTCGACCGACAGAATTTCCGGTCGACCGCCAATGTATCCGTTGGCTTCCAACGGCTATTTTTTAGAGCTGTTTGCTGGGGCTTTTTTTGTCTTTTGTTAGGGGTTTTGGCTGAGTTTTTGAGTGGGTATAAATACCCTATTGCTGTTCTCTTTCAACCTAACCAAGAGAATTATTTCAACAAGTTTAAGGGTATTTTGTGTTTGTTTAAAAGAGTGTTTAAGATTTTGGTTTGTGAAGATAATTTCACAAGGGCTTGAGGAGATAATCTTTGGTGTTTGAGCTTCAAATCATCTCTCTCTCACTCTTGTCATTTATTGGAGAAGTTTTCTAAACTCAATCTAGCTTTACATTTTATTGTTTGATTATCATTTTATTAAGCTAGTGTTTATATTGAGTTTAGTTGATTTTATTTATCTCTTTATACACACACAACCATTGAGCTTATTGTATTTACATTCATAGTATAATTGGGTTGTGGGATTGTGTAACTTAGAGAGTGAGCTTATAATTCGTTCTCATTCATTATAGAGAACAAACACTTTGTATTGAGCCTATTTGTGAGGATTCACTTGTAATACACTTGTACACCGAGAGAAGTGTGTGGTGAGAGACGGGGTCGAATCCAAGAGGAGTGGCGTCGGTTGACGTGCCTAGGGATAGGTTGTAACCGAGCACTTGAGGAGGAGGACACGGGCTAGGACCAACACTTAGTGTGTAAGGTGTGATTGCGTAGTGATTGTATTGTGAGGTGTAAACGTTGTTCGGGTGAACGTAGAAAACCCGGTTGTGATAGTGGAGATCTCCTCGAGGTGAGGAGCGGAGACGTAGGTCGTGGGGACCGAACTCCGTAATCATATTGTTTGTTTGTGATTGCATTAGCGCACTTACTTTTATGTTTATATCTTATATCGCTTTTGTTTATTGCTTGTTGATTATATTGCCTACTATCTAGTTTAGATTATTTACCCTTGTGTTGTTTATATATCCTTGCATATATTTCTATCATATAGGATATATCTCATTGTTCATGTTGCTTATCCTAGCTTATATTCTTGTTGTATTTCATACTTGCTAGGATAACTTGATAATTAATTTTAATTGGCATATAATCGGATTAGATTAGCATAAGACCCTAATCACCCCCCCTCTAGGGTCTAACAGCTCCTTGCGGATTTTTGGGGACTGGGGGGATTCGAACCGGGGTGCGGCGGACTCCAAAGAGAGTTTAAGTGGAGGTGCTGACCAGGGTTCCCTTGTCAACAAAAAAAAGAGAACTTAGGTCGGGCGGTAATCACACCACGTACATGGCTGCCGACGGTTGGAACTCTCTCTATATAAATAGATGATGAGCGATAACTATCTTTTTGCATGAAATCCTCTTTTTCTTTCCTCTTTTCTTCATTTTTTTCTCTTCAATAATTTGAGTGATGTTGACTCCTAGTGCCGGAACCATAATTGAAATTCCATAAAATCTGAACAAATGATTTAATACGGCTTAATATTTTATCTTTTACTCTCTGGGAAAAAGATAATATTTTTTTATCTTTCACTCTTACAAAAAATAATTTATATTCTCAAAATACGTACAGACCTAGAGGATCAACATGGCGTCCAATGATACATCACCGCAAAATACAAAGTTGACAAGTGACGCTAGGTTACAACGTAACTGGGGGCTTGCAAATATAATAGACAACAAGTACTGAGATTTTATTTATGCCTTACAAGACTAAAATAAAGCATAAATACAGGGAAAAGAAAACATTTTAAAAGAAACTCCATCCAACATAATTATACATCATGTATGCTTCCCAAGATTGCACCATGTACGTATAGTCCAACTCTAATTTTGAACGTCAACAGGACGAAACATGGAAACAATCCTATCATTTAGCATCTGAACGGGCCTTGCATTCATTTTAAAGTCCTGCACAACGCCAAGTGAAAACTAATGAGTTTTTGTGCTAATCAAAACTTTGGACTAAAATAGGTTGAGGTAGTCTAAAAATGGATACAATAACACGTAAACCGTGTTTTATTGTGAACTATATATATCATCAAGTTTTTGCTAAACTAACCTAGTGCCTTTTAGTTATATCGAAGTAAAATTTCGCATATATATGGATGGATTAACTGTAAACTCTCTAAGAAACAAAGAGGAAATTATGGAGGTGATTGCATACGGATGCTACTTACATCATGCACAGCTTCTCTCAATAGCTCCACCTGCTTCCTTGCCACAGTCCTCACCTGCCATTAATGGTAAATATCTTACAACCCAATAATTTTCACAAGAACTGGCGCTCCCACGCTCTTAATTTGACAAGTTAATGAGTGAGCCGAGCATCTAGAGCAAACTTTAGTCTAAAGTAGTTGTAGCTAGTTCCCATTTTTCTTACATAAATGTATCACGTATAGTTACACTTCTGATTGCAGCTGTTTTCTCAACATAATTGTAATATAGTTTGTAACCATATAGTTGTAAAAAAGGTCAATTGACCACAAATCATTTTTGCAACTTTTATGAAAAATAATATATAGTACTTATAATGAAATATACAATTGCAACTATATATAACAGTCTTATATAGTACTTATAATAAAACATTATTACTTTCTGGAAAAATCAGGCATAAGTATTAACTTTTCGCAAAAATTAATTATTACTTACATGTAAAGGGCAGTTGTGATAATCTTGTATGTTTCAAAACAACCTTCTTCACGTAGGGTGTTTTGATAAGATTTATATCTATTTGAGGGTAAAAACTAAATTTTACCTTGTCACAAAAATTATTAATTACTTTCTGGAAAAATCAGGCATAAGTATGAACTTTTCACAAAAATTAATTATTACTTACATGTAGTGGGCATCAGTTGTGGTAATCTTGTATGTTTCAAAACAACCTTCTCACATATAGGGTGTTTTGATAAGATTTATATGTATTTGAGGGTATAAACTAAAATTTACCTTCTCTTCAATGGTCCAGACGACACCTTCAGTGCAAGGAGGCACGGTGAGAGAGCCCACGTATCTGTAGTACTTCCCGCTCCCTCTCTTCGTCTCCCTCGGATCCATTATCCCCACCTTCTCTTCCTTACCCGTCGCCTCACCAACCTTCGCGATGTAATCCTCCACCTACAAAAATTTGATTAATTGACATAGGTTTAATTTATGGAATGAACATGATAATCATTAGTCCTGGATAACATGCATACGACATGCACCCTTCTGTTGAGCGTAATCTTCGTTAAAAGTTAAGATTTATTGCGGATTGACCCCTATATATACTATCACCCAATTGCGAATAGGCTCCCTATAGCGCTATTGTTGTAGATAGAATTCCAGGGGCTCTATCTGAAAATTATTTTAGTTTGACAAGCATTAATTAATTGGTAGCCCATAATCCAACATTTTGAGCTTCTAGAGATAGACTTGACACTGAAAGTTAAAGAATCATGTTAAGCTGATACGTATGCAATATTGTACAAAGTAGAAGGTTAAAAAACTGACCCTGGCAAGGAATGGATCTTGCCTTCCAATTGTGTAGAGGGAGCTCACAACGGCTGCCTTCTTATCATCACTCTCATGAACCATATGCATCTCTAGAGGGTACCTGGATTTTCAAACCAAACAAGGTAAAAAAAAAAAAAAAACACAAAATTTTATGGAGAAAAAAAAAAGATGAAAAGGAAAGAAAAAGAAAAAAAAAAAGTGGTGTGAACTACAATGTTCATTGGCAAAATATCGTCCACCATAATTTTAACCATCCATATGAAAATTGTACTTAACACTGTTAGGGGTTCTACAAAAACATCTTACAGTTAAAAGGGGATTTTCTGATAGTCTGATATTTATGGGAGGTTATCTATGTTAAGATATTCATGTGTGAGTATAGTTTTGTATTGAATTGAATAAGAAAAAGGGACTAGTAAAGTAAAAGTTTTCTGGATTAAAATGTGTTCAAAGCCTGATTGTGTTATCATCCTACAGAAAAAGTTAGGATAGGGAGGCTTACTTCCTTATATGAGTTTCTATATATAGAGCTTCTCTATATAGTTATTTTTTTTTTCCTTTTTTTCTTTTCTTTTTTTTTGGGAAAATTGTATTGATGCCCCAAAAATAATAACTTCATGTGATCTATCCCTTCCAACTTTTTTCCATGTGCTGCAGCCCCTAAATTATAATTCTATGTGATTCGGTCCTTTTTTCATGAAATTCTCATGCCAACTAAACACAAAGAGAAAGAAATAAATATAAAAGCCAAAAATACCCTCTTCCCCCTTCCTCTACTCCACCCAGAAGGCGGAGGAGGAAATGACAGAGAAGTGAGTTACTCACCTTCGGCCATTGACTTCATGCTCAGAAGGTGAATGCCAGTGAAGCTGCTTAAGAATGTACTGGGTCTCGTTGATCCATAGAGATCCTGCCTCATCTTCCCACTTGAGCTGAAAATTTTACACAAATGAGGACAAGCATTTATTATGATGAGTCAACATTCAAAACAAAACAGGATAAAGTACTATGAACAACTAGAAATTAACTATCTTATAACAAACCTAGAACCTAAATAAGAATCAATTAGCAACTGATTGTAATTCGAATTCCTTTTGACTAAAATGGAGGAACAAATGCAAATCATGAAGTATATAATAAACATTAAAAAAAAATTACGGGAAACTTGGTTTGGGACGCTCGTGGGTGAAACCGAGTTTGACCCAACCTTTTCAAACAAACCCCAACAAGAATATTAGAATCTGAAATTATTGAGCATGGATCAAACCCATCGAATCATCCTGAAGAACCTGGGTGTGTAATAAATATTAATTTTAAAAGGAAAAACAAGGAATTCATGCTAAACCTTCCCATAATGACAAATATCTCATTCAAACATGCAAAGGTCATGGATTCAAATGTGGGCACCCATGTGTCAATATAAAGCCATGGTGGGAAAAAATAAAAGGAATTACGTGTTGTAAATTTTGAACATGATTAATTCATAGAGATTAACATGAGCGCGCGAAAGCAATACCTGAATCCATGACGATTTGAGCACGGATCTGAATTAGGGCCTGATCTTCTAATCGTAAAGGTTTCTCTTGAATATCTCTTTAGATGGGGATTAGAGAATAGAGAACGTAACCCTTAGATTAGGGATCATAACCCCTTTATATAGATTTGCAATTTTCTAATTTAGCCCCTCATAAAATTAGAATTGCAGTCCGGTATCTGCACAATTAGCCTATGACATATTTAAATGCCCATTAACCCATTTGACTTAATTGATTACTTTATGCGGGTTAACCTTAAAGATAACATTATACACTAATGTAACATATATGCCCACAATTAGATTTAATCCAACAACACTTGGGTACTATATGTTTCATTAAAATGTGTACAACCTTATGAGCTCAGAAGTTGCTATCACAAATAAGGGTATTTCCGACCAATCTCGTCCATTGATAATATCAATATAGAATCAAAGCGGTCTTTGTCACATTTCTCGTGACTAAACTCATCAATGGTCACATATACCAATATAATAAAACGACATAGATCAATCATGGATGTGCAGTATGAAAATTACATGCAATGTGATCAGTACATGTCTATTTTCAACTGGTCCTATTTTAAACTTTAGTGAGGTCAAAACCAAACATAATGAAACAGAGTGTCTTAACTGAATACTTTATTCTGATCAGACAATACAACCAAACATAAAGCACCAAAAAATTTACAAACTTTCACTAAATCATAATATCCTCAAATAACCCCACACACATACGAGCAATGTGCTCATGAAAGACCTTGGGTGGCAAAACTTTAGTAAGAGGATCAGCTATCATGGAGTTCGTCCAAATATGATCTATGGATATTTGTCGACTCTACACCCTTTCTTTCACAACCAGGAACTTAATGTCAATATGTTTTTAACTTAGTCGGGCTCCTGTTGTTATTGGAATACATCACTACTGATTTATTGTCACAAAATAATTTAAGTGGTCTTTTAATATTATCCAGAATGCGCAGTCCATTGATAAAATTTTACAACTATATTCCATGATTGGATGCCTCATAGCAAGCTACAAACTCTGCTGTCATAGTGGATGAAGCTACAAGTGTTTGTTTGATATTTTTTCATGATATAGCTCCTCCCGCTAACACATAAATGTAGCTTGATGTAAATTTTCTGCTATCTTGGCATCCAGCAAAATCAAAATCAGAGTACCCAATAACCTTCAGTTGTTCTGATTTTCTGTATGTGAGCATATAATCTTTTGTTTTCTGAAGATACCTCATAACCCTTTTGACTGCTATCCAATGATCCATACCAGGATTGCTTAAGTATCTGCCTAACATCCTAATAATGTACGTAATATCCGGACGTGTACACACTTGAGCATACATTAGACTTCCTACAGCCGAAGCATAAGGAATCTTCTGCATTTCCTGAATTTTAAGGTTACCTTTAGGGTACTAATTGAGACTGAACTTGTCTCCTATAGCAACAGGGGTTTCACCTGGTCTGTAATTTTGTATGCCAAATATTTTGAGTACTTTATCGATATAGCTCTTTTGTGATAATCCAAGTATACCTCGAGAACGATCTCGATATATCTGGATTCCGAATATAAAAGCGGCTCCCCCAAGATCTTTTATTTTAAAATTTTTTGATAGAAATCTTTTGGTTTCGTGCAACATGCCTATATCATTAGTGGCAAACAATATGTCATCGACATACAGAACCAGAAAAATATACTTACTCCCACTGAACTTATGATATACACAATCATCAACAACATTCATCTCAAAACCGAACGGGATAATTATTTATTAAAATTTATGATACCATTGACGAGGAGCTTGCTTGAGTCCATAGATGGATTTTCTTAATTTGCAAACCATATTCTACGAGGAGCTTGCTTGAGTCCATAGATGGATTTTCTTAATTTGCAAACCATATTCTTTGGATCTCCTGACACAAAGTTTTCTGGTTGCACCATATAGATTATTTCATCAATGTCTCCATTGAGAAATGCAATCTTAACATCTATCTGATGTAACTCAAGATCATAATGAGCAACAAGTGCCATGATTGTTCTGAAGGAGTCTTTGGATGAAACCGGAGAGAAAGTCTCTGTATAATCAATATATTCCTTTTGAGTATAGCCTTTAGCTACAAGATGTGCTTTATACCTCTTCACATTACCATTTGTATCACTCTTGGTTTTAAATATCCATTTACAACCAATTGGTTTTGTACATTCTAGCAATGAGACAAGTTCCTAAACTTTATTATCTTATATAGACTTGTACTCTTCATTCATAGTATCAATCCACTGTTGAGAGTTAAAACTTTTCATGGTCTAAAGAAAGTTGATTGGATCATCTTCCAACATTCCATTACTTTCCTCATGTTCTTACAGAAATACATTTGAATTATTTGTTTAAACTTATGATACCATTGAATGACGAGATAATTATTTGTTGAAACTTATGATACCATTGACGAGGAGCTTGCTTGAGTCCAAAGATGGATTTTCTTAATTTGCAAACCATATTCTTTGGATCTCCTGACACAAAGTTTTCTGGTTGCACCATATAGATTATTTCATCAATGTCTCCATTGAGAAACGCAGTCTTAACATTCATATGATGTAACTTAATATCATAATGAGCAATAAGTGCCATGATTGTTCTGAAGGAGTCTTTCGATGAAACCGGAGAGAAAGTCTCTGTATAATCAATATCTTCCTTTTGAGTATAGCCTTCAGCTATAAGACATGCCTTATACTTCTCCACATTACCATTTGCATCATGCTTGGTTGTAAATATCCATTTACAACTAATTGGTTTTTCATCTTCTGGCAATGGGACAAGTTCCTAAACTTTATTGTCTTGCATAGACTTGTACTCTTCATTTATGACATCAATCCACTGTTGAGAGTTAGAACTTTTCATGGCCTGAAGGAAGTTGATTGGATCATCTTCCAAACTTTTCATGGCCTGAAGGAAGTTGATTGGATCATCTTCCAACATTCCATTACTTTCCTCATGTTCTTAGAGAAATACAATATAATCAGTTGATTGGATCATCTTCCAACATTCCATTACTTTCCTCATGTTCTTAGAGAAATACAATATAATCATCTGGAATACAATTTCTTCTTTCTCTCGTGGATCTCCTTAATAGCACTGGTTCTTGAGGTTGTTGAGTTTGTTCTTCTGGAATAAGGAGTTGATTAACATTATCATCTTGAAGTTTCGGATTTACTTCTTGATTAATAACAGGTATAGGAACCTAAATATTAATTATCAAGAGTAACTGTATGGATTGGATTTGAAGCCAATTCCTCCTCAAATGCAATGTCTCTAACCTTATTTCTCCCCCCCAAACTCAACATTCTCAAAGAACGTTGTTGTTCTCGTCTTAAAAATATTCCTAAGTGTGGGATCATAAAACTTATAGCCTCTTGAACGTTCAGAATACCCAATAAAGTAGCTGCTAACTATTTTGGAGTCTAATTTTTTTTATTTGGCCTATAAGCCCTTGCCTCTGCCGGACATCCCCAAATATTTAAGTGCTTTAAACTAGACTTTCGACCAGTCCATAGCTCATAAGGTGTTTTAGCAACTGCTTTACTTGGTATACTGTTTAGAATATAAGCTGTTGTCTTTAGTGCTTCTCCCCAGAGTGACTCTGGTAAAGAAGAATGAGTAATCATACGTCTCACCATATCCTTAAGAGTCATGTTTCATCTTTCAGCTATACCATTCATGTTAGGTGAACCCAGCATGATGTACTGTGAGACGATACTGTATTCCTCTAGGTATCTAGCAAATAGTCCTGAACGTTATTCACCTGAACTATCATATCTGTCATAGTACTCACCACCACGATTAGATCTAACGGTTTTAATTTTTTTGTTGAGTTGATTCTCAACTTCAGCTTTATAGGCTTTGAACATGTCCAAATACTCAAATTTCTCATGAATGAGATATAGGTACCCATAACGTGAGTAATCGTCTATGAATGATATAAAATATTGTTGATCATTCCAAGATGCCATAGGGAATGGCCCATAAATATCTGTATGTATCAATTCTAAGACTTCTGAAGATCTGTTGGTACCTAATCTCTTAACTTTGGTTTGTTTTCCCTTGATACATTCGACACATACGTCGAAGTCTGAAAAATCAAGAGAATCAAAAATGCCATCAGACACTGTAGGCGTCAAAAATTACCTATAGGTCCCCACACGCGGCTCGAGACATAGAGGAGACAATGAACGTTGCTATTCGAGTCACAAAAGCTCATTTGATGATGACGAATGCATGAAGTGAGTCGACGGACCATGCGAAGCACAGGAATTTTGGAATAATCAAAACACGAATGAATCAGGAGCTACACGTCGCTTACGAAAGATGAAGCGCCCCTTGTGTC